CAGCTCACAGCAGCCTCCAACTCCTGCGCTCAAGTGAGTCTCCTGCCTCTGCCTCCCAAGTAGCTGGGGCCACAGGCACCCGCCACAATGCCTGGCTATTTTTTGGTTTGCAGCCGTCATTGTTATTTGATGGGCCCGGCCTGGATTTGAACCCGCCAGCTTAGGTGTATGTGGCTGGCACCTTAGCCACTTGAGCCACAGTCGCCAAGCCTTTTTTTTTTTTTTTTAAGAAAAAAAAGATCTGTCTCACTATGTTGCCCTGGGTAGAATGCCATGGCGTCACAGCTCACAGCAACCTCTAGCTCTTGGGCTTAGGCGATTCTTTTGCCTCAGTCTCCCTAGTAGCTGGGACTACAGGCGCCGGCCACAATGCCTAGCTAGTTTTAGAGACTTGGTTTCTCTGTTTCTCAGGCTAATCTCAAATGCCTGAGCTCAAGCAATCCACGGGCTGCCTCCCAGAATGTTGGGATCACAGGTGTGCGCCACTGTGCCTGGCCACCCCCTTAATATTTTAAAATAACAAAACAAAACAAAGTCTGTGAGTTTCACAGGAAACCCCACTCTTTGTCGCCACTTGATCTGCATTTGGGGTTTGTATTAAAGAGTATCCTACATGCTTTTGTTTATGTTCAGCACAAGCATATTTAGAGCTTTTTAAAGAAATGTATCTCTTCTTTGTTAAGCTACACGTTAGAAAGAAGCTTTCTCCGAAGGATGTGCTGTGATAGAGACACAGACGCCTCAGATGGGCTCACTGAATACTGCCAGAGCTTTGCTTCTGGCCTCATTGAGCTCTGATTCTCTTCTGATCAGTGTCATAGCTCTCCAGGGAACAGTGAAATCCTGAGGAGGAGCAGGCACAGGTATCCATCTTGCCCCAGTGAATCTGCAGTTAAGCTTCCATTCCAGGATCATGTTTCCGCCACCAGTAATGACTTGAGGAATTCTTGTGGGGAATGAATTTACAATGTTTTAGCACCGTTTTACAATGACGCGCCTGCCATCCACTCTAAGAACCTTTGCCCCTGGCTCGGCACCTATAGCTCAACCGGCTAAGGCGCCAGCCATGTACACCTAAGGTGGCGGGTTCGATTCCCCAGCCCGAACCCGCCAAACAACAATGACGGCTGCAACCAAAAAAATAGCCGGGCGTTGTGGCGGGC